TACAGTAGAACCTCCATTATCCGGACCTCTGTTATCCGGATTTTCGATTATCCGGATTGTTCAAAATAAACAAACATTTTACGAATTTGCTGATTTGTACTTGGCGAATTACGATACTGTTTATGTACGTGATGGAGTGCATAACTTTTTTTGTTTCTACAACGTCTCACCCGGCACAGTGGCCGTAAACTCTTAAATATATTTTACGTAGTAATAAAAAACTTGACATACGTATTTATAAATAATTTATATTCAAATCACATCGTTTCTATGACCAAGGGCGGCGTAAGGCATGGACGACGTGGGCCACCGCCTATGCCTCGCGGTCCGAAGGGCCTCGCGCTTCGAAGGTTAATGCATTACTTAAAAGCCGTGAACGCGACGAAAAAATTTTACTCGTCATAAAACGATAAATAGTTTGTCAAATTTTTATTCATAAAAATGTAGTTTAAACTGCTTTTTATTTTATAAAATCCGTCTTATTGCGCCACCAGAGGGCCTTTTAAACAATAGGTAGTCTGTTAGCGCTGGTCAGTAGTAGTCCAAATTCAATACAAACGTTTGTTTCTTGAAAATTTGATCACAATTTAAATACTGTATTTACTTTTAATATTACCGATATGTCATCGAAAAGAAAACATGTATTATCATTAAAAGACAAATTAAAGACAATAAAAGGCCTCTTCAGTGGGGCTAATCATACACAGTTCATGCTCCGCCAATCAACTTATTAATAAGAGCCACTTATATAGTTTACAAAAAATTCCCAGCATTCTGCTGTTAACATACCATAAATCCCCACTGAAGAGGCTTTTCATAGGCGAAATGCATTTGGGGAGCTTGTTAGTAATGTCAATTAAAAAGTATTTTTCTCTGCAAACTGATTTCTTTTTATACTTTTTTAGCTTTAATCTTTTTTAATTANAATAGGTAGTCTGTTAGCGCTGGTCAGTAGTAGTCCAAATTCAATACAAACGTTTGTTTCTTGAAAATTTGATCACAATTTAAATACTGTATTTACTTTTAATATTACCGATATGTCATCGAAAAGAAAACATGTTGTATTATCATTAAAAGAGAAATTAAAGACAATAAAAGGCCTCTTCAGTGGGGCTAATCATACACAGTTCATGCTCTGCCAATCAACTTATTAATAAGAGCCACTTATATAGTTTACAAAAAATTCCCAGCATTCTGCTGTTAACATTCCCATAAATCCCCACTGAAAAGGCTTTTCATAGGTGAAATGCATTTGGGGAGCTTGTTAGTAATGTCAATTAAAAAGTATTTTTCTCTGCAAACTGATTTCTTTTTATACTTTTTTAGCTTTAATCTTTTTTAATCATTATTGGTTTAATGTTTTAAAAATTTATTGAAGTTATATAATATCCAAAAGTCAGAAGTGAAAGAAAAATATAATTTTTTTGTATACTTTACATTTATGTAAGAAGAAAGGGGGAAAAACTTTGTTTTTCTTTTCTATCGTTTCAACATATCAGTGGCAGTCATGATAAATTGATGGAGGTCTTCCACATTTAGATGNTTAATCAAAAATTAAATTTATAATTAGAAATATGTTTTGTTTTATTTAATTCCAAAACATAAAAAAGAATAAATATAATGCGTAATAAGTTTATAATAAATAAACTGATTTTGTTTAATAAAAAAAATTTCATTATCACATTGAAATGCTTGATTAGAATAACAAGATTTGTTTTTCTCTTACATTTTAATACTTTAATTCTTTGAATGGAACCATCCCATTTAAGAGGGAGATGATGATCACACATCATCATAGCACACAAAAGAATAGTATACTGTTATTTTATAGTAACTGATTGATAAATTAGCCCTATCATCATCATTTTTCAAAAATAAATAATAATAATAAAATTACATATTTTTGAAAATTTTCTAATTTTATTTACTTGCCATAAATGTAAAAATTAGATTAAAAGCAGTGAAGTAAATTTTCATATATAAAAATAACATTGGAAAATATTAATATAAAAATGACAATATGAATAAATTTATATCGTCATTTTTATATTAATATTTTTCAGTGTTCATTTTTATTAAAAGTAAAACCTAATTTTTATTTTAAATTTTTTTCTTGTATTTTTAGATTCTAACATTCTACAGTCCCAACTTGGCCATCGTGAAATACATATGATTAGCATAGGAAAACGTGCCAAATTCCAACCTCATAAATGTAGTGTTGTATGTAATGGTGATAAAGTAAATGAACCCTCAAAGTATAGGGGAAAGAATCCCTTGCAGATACCAATTCTCTGTGGATGGGAAAGGTATATTTTAGTTATTAACTAATGGATTTCAAAAATTTTATAACATGTTTTAATCATTTTCATTATAATTAATTTAGGCAAGTAACAAAGCATCGAGCTGGTTGTAGGAGAGTTGTATTTTATGTAACTCCTTGTCGTAGGAGATTAAGAAGCATTAAAGAAGTTAATCATTACTTATGGAAAACAAAATCAAAGTTAACTATTGATTTGTTTTGTTTTGATAGTTGTGTCCACACTTTTTCTGAATTTAGTCCTTCAAGGGTAAATTCATTTTAAATTGTAATGAAAAATGTTAATATTAGAATCTTTTGCAACTATTAAAATGCTGAATTTTTCTACAGATTTTGGCCTACATTCCTGACATTACATATGGAAAAGAAGATGTTTCAGTTAGTTGTGTTAACAGTTTATATAAAGAATTCCCTCCTTATGTTTTATATTCAAATGTAAGATTTCCTGCTAAGGGAGTTCAGCTTAATCTTGATCAGGAATTTTTGTGTGGTTGCGATTGTGAAGATAATTGTCAGGTAAGTAGATTTATTCTTTATATTTTTTAATAACAAAATATATTAATTTATCATTTGAATTAGGATCGTGATAGATGTCAATGTCAGCAACTTACCATAAATGCTACTGAAGCTCTTCCATCTGGGAGAATACCTGATGCTGGATATAAATTTAGAAGATTAAAAGAACCACTAATAACTGGGTTAGAATTTTATTTTGTAACAAGTCTAAGGAAGATGATAACCTGAAAAGTGTATAAAACATCTTTATTGAAGTAATTGCTTCAATAGAGATAGTTAGTTTATACATTTTTCAGCTGTAACTTTGTCATATTCTTTATAATGTGTATTATTTTTCAATGATTGTGTTATTGTTCATATATGAAATTAATTTAAATTTATTTTATAATTTCTCTAGAATATATGAATGTAATTCAAAATGTAAATGTGGTCCATCATGTATGAATCGAGTAGCACAAAATGGTCTTCAAGTTCGTCTCCAGTTGTTTAGAACAGAAAGAAAAGGTTGGGGAATTAGATGTCTGGATGATATTCCTCAAGGCATGTTTATTTGCATCTATGCAGGGCAGTTACTTACTGAACAAGGAGCAAATGAGGTATAAAATTATTGTAATTTCATTAAAATAATTAGTAATAAAGGTTATGAAATATTGCTAAAGTTTTTCATTAATTTAAAATATAACAGGATGAATGGTAATAAAGAGTACAGATTAACTCTTTAAACATGAAATTGACTAGAATTAGCTTAATCCATTCAAAATAAAATTGACTAATGGGAAAGATTTGTTTGACTGGTTCTGCTTTACAAGTTCTCCTTGTAGCCTGAGGGCCTCAGGGGTAAAACAGTTTCATCTCCAGGTACATAAGAAAAAAAAATTGAGTTTAAAGAGTTAAGTTGGATGAGCCATTGACTTGAACTCTGAACAGGGCTGTCAAGACTGGGTGCTGTGAATTNGAATCAGTGTTGCCAGCTAAAACACGTAAAAATAATATTAAAGTAGCCAAGACATAGCCAAATATTGTAGCGCCACATCAATAGCGGACATTTTAAATTTGCCGACTAGGACGGTTGGTTAACCGAGGGGTCGGTTGATAGGGACTTGAGTCGGATAATCAAGGCTCTACTGTATATTTATTTTGTTTGTACAAAATAAAGAAATAATTTTTAACAATACAATAGCTACAATTATTATTTTTAAAAATTTACATTAAGCCTAACATCGATGAAAATTCAATGCAGAGCAACATGCAACAGAGAAAAATTTCAACGTGGGATAGGTTAATATATTTTTTCGTACATAATCGGTTATCTGAAAAATAAGTTATCCGAACAACCCCAGTCCCTAATTGATTCGGATAAACGACACTCTACTGTATATAGTTTAGCACTGTATTACTTCATAGCATCAATAAATAAATGCTTACTGGAACTAATTAAATAATGTAAAAATAAACAACACCTTTCACCAGTCCAGCACCATGTTTAAACGTGGTGCTGGACATGTGAACGGTGTTGTTTATTTTTACTTCATAGCATATATTGCATGAATTTATTATAATTGATTGTGATGAAATAATAGATGTAAATATATTTAAAATTTTGTTATTTTTATATTTGACTATATTTTTTGTGAATTATTTAATTAAATAGTGTATAAAATATCATGAAATTTGAAATTTTATTACATGTGTATAACTTAATTTGATACAATATTGTATTGTAATTATAAATAAAAATTATTTAATGTAAGTATATTATTAACAGATTTACAAAATTATAAATAATTGCAGGCTACTGCTCAAGCGAACAGATTGACAGGAAAGTTTCGTCGACATAATCTTGTTGCTAAACGACCTCATCAGCCTTATGTTGAATACACAAGAGGAATTGATGAACCCATAGCACGTCCTACTGGAAATCTGGGTAAGAAAGTATTGAAAATATTTTTATGATTTTTTTCTGAAATACACAAATATAAAATTTTGTAAATTTTCAAAATTATTTAATCAGTTAACTTCAGAAAACAACAGAAAGAGCAGATTTCAAATTTTCAATTATCCGATATTCCTTCTCGACCTCAAGTTGCTAAAAAACAGACAGGAGGATGTATCCCAAATCAGAATATTGAATCTAGTGCTAGAATAGCAAAGAAATCTACAACACAAGAACGTCTTCTTTATAATTTAATGAATGAAGAAAATAGAGATGATTATGGTAAGCTTATATGTTACTTGAATAATAATTTGTGATATTTGCAGTATTTCAATAAGAAAAAGAAGCTGTAAATTGTGAGTTGGGATAGGAGCTTGGATAGTATAGCATCTGATTGCTGTATGGCAGTGTTTTTCAACCGGGGTGCTGCAGCACCTTAGGGTGTCACGGCGCCACGATTGGGGTGTTGCAAAGTTTAGAGCCTTTAGGCATTTTCTTGGAAATTTACTTAAGTGTAGTTCAAGATAACACATTGTCAGTTCTATTTTGCTACGAGATATCTAGTAAGCAAAGAAACTATGACTAATCTCATGTTAATGTAATGTTCTACGCTACGTGTACGCACAACTTGTCACGAGTTCGCCCAAACCACATTGCTTGGCTTTCATGTTCCCAGTACCAGGTCAACCACCAGAGAAGAACGACGTGGACACTTGTGTCTTGTATATGCNAGAATTTCAGTCTTGCCACAAATAGGATACATATTGATTATTAACAATCTGTGACATGCCATAACAAGCAAAAATTTAAAAAATTAATAAGCAGGCTTAAAATCGATAAATACAAATGTATTCTAAATATGACAAATGTATATGAGTTAATTATACTTTCTATTTGCAAAATTTCCTCAACCTTAACACAAAATAAGAAAAAAGTGAACTTTTAAAAAATTTGCAGGATTTCCTGGGTTAAAAAACAGCCAGGATCCTGTTAGAGAAATTGTACTTCAAGCCCATTGTGGTTTGGCTAGTCACACAATGAGATGTGTGGGTGTTGAGGGATGAGGTTCAACATATCTGGGGTAGGTTACCCCTTGGTTTTTCAACTAGTTTGATTCAATCCTGAATTCCCAGCATTGAATCAAGGTAGTTGGTAGGGTGGTAGCCCACCCAGAATGGGAGGCTAATACCTTAACCATTTGAGTCATCTGGTTGATTAAAAATAAAAAAAAGATTAGCAATCTGATAAAAAAAAAATACTCTAGAAAACAAAACACAAATAGATTATGAAAAAGACACTAATTATAAATTAATAAATGTTGATTATATTAAATAAGATTTTATTCTGCTGATGCTAATTCAGATTAATTTTAAAAATACTTTTTATTATTTTTGATGTTAGGTTGGTGATTAAATATCAGAATTTTCTGGTATTTCTGAAATCATCAACAATACTTAAATTATCATTATGAAATTCACATGGAAATTGATTATTAGGATTTAAATCACATTATACTATATTATAAATGACATATATTAAATTTTTTGTTAAAATTATAGATTAAAAATTAAAAGTAAATAATGATTGAAAAAAATATATTATAAAAAGAGATACTAAATTTATAATAGTTCAGTGTAATCCCATTTTAACATTCTCAATTTAACATTTATCTGTTTATACACTTTTAATTCTCCTGACTTCTGTTACTCCATAAAATCCAAAACCCTTATTCTAAATTTATTTCAATGAGATATAAAAATTAAGTGAATTTTTTCATATTTCAGCATAGCTGTAATCCAAATGTATTTGTTCAAAATGTTTTTGTTGATACCCAAGACTTGCGGTTTCCCTGGGTGGCATTTTTTGCTATGGTGTAAGTGAAATATTTTCTATTTATTTATTTAGTGCTATGCTTTTATTATTATTTATTTTAATGATTAATGATAATAGTGTCTAATATAGTAATGGTGATGATAAACAAATTTAATATACTTTTCTTAAATTTAATATAAAATTTCAAAAATAATAGTAATAATGTGGTAGACTTTGCTTATTGTAATTTATTCTGGGATTCCATTATATTAAAAACAACAACCAAGTGATAAAATTAAGTGGGTTAAGTAAATAAAACTGCAATTAGAAGATGATTTTTAAAATAACAATAACCTTACCTATTTTCCAACTCTTTGTATAATTCCCAAAATTTAAGCAGGCATTAAAAAGTCGTAACACTTGATCTTTGATTACAGGATAACATTGTTTAATCATATTGTAAGTTATTCCATCTAAACCAGGAGCCTTATATCTGCCCAAATCAAAAATTACTTTTCAAAAAACAAATAAACAAATCAAAAATTACTTTATTTAATTTCTTAATCAAAAAGATACCTGTGTGACTATTAGTATTAAAACATTCATTATCTAAACAAATTAATCTTTGTTGGTGTCTATCATTATCATAATCATCAGGAAATAGAATATTAAAATACCACTTAATAATTGAGACCAATCTATTCAGTACTAATTATCAATTTTTATAGAATTCAACATCTTCATATGTATTTTTTCTTGTATCAATTTATAAGGGACACCCCAAGGATTTCTAGAATTAAAGCTCTGGTTAAAACTGAAAAGAATAACTGATAACTATTCCATGTTAACAGCCATATATTGAGGCTTATAGCATGAAAAAAGAGTGTAGAAAGACCTATTGAAAATAATGATAACAGTAACTGGATTTTGATTAGAAAAAAGCAAATTTTTTATAATGTGTGTTTTGGGCCTGTTAATTTTGATAACAATAATTGATAAATAACATTCTACATGATTACAATAAGCAGAGTCTAATGTTTAATATATAATTAGTTTATGTATTTCTGTTAAAATTGCATAATGAAATGTAAATTAATATATTGTGAAAAAAAATAATCTACAGCAAACTTGGAATTTGTAGGTACATTCGTGCAGGTTCAGAATTAACTTGGGACTATAACTACGATGTTGGAAGTGTTCCGGGGAAAGTTATGTATTGTTATTGTGCATCTAATGAATGTCGAGGCCGTCTCCTCTAGTAACAAAGTTTCTGAAGGAAAATAAATCAAAATATATTGATTTATATCTTCTGTTATGACTAAGAAGTATCAGTATGGAAATTCTGACTAAAAACATTAAAAAAGAAATACATGTGTACATTCATAAATGTATCTGTGTTCATTTAAATATATAATGAAGTTTAAATCTCTCATGATCATTCATCTGAAGGATGGCATTTATCAGAAATATCATGTATTTATTATGCTTTCATCTGTCTACAGTATATTGCAATCAGAAATATAATTATGGGAAATGCATTTTATTTTCATCTAATGATACATGTAATTTAATTTACAATCTTTCGAAATTTCTAATGAATGCAGGTTTATGAAATGTATAAAACTGATGCAAGTGATGCTGTTTTGGAGACTGGTTAATTAAAAATTTAGAAAAAGTATTTTATTTTTATGTAAATTTTTTTGAATATTTTTGTTTTTGTAAGTGAAATTATATAATATGTAAGATGTAAAGTCAAAAAAATATAGTTACATATACAAAAACAAAAATTCAAACAGTTGTAAATGAAATTTATATTTTATAACCATATTTACAGAAACAAGAATTATATTCTTTATTTTATTTTATGAATATGATTTAGTAACTTCAGTTCAAAACTTACAATTGTACTGTACAATTTATAATTGAATGTAGTTTTTTTTTCAATTAGGCATTTGACTAAGCAAAAACAAAGTTTAGATACATATTGATCATAAAATCAAATAAATTGTTAAATTGTTTACTTAACAATTTAGAACACAATAAGGTTCTGTGAACCTAAAAACAAATACTAGAAATGCTTTTTATTCTAAGTTTAGATAATTGATTTGTGATTTGGTACATAAAAATCACTGCCAAGATGACCTTGTACATGCTGTATAAATACATTTCAAACAATATTAAAAATAAATTTTTTTATAAATGACGGATTGTATTTTTGTATTTGAAAGTGAAAATGGATTTGAAAGTAATAAAGAAGTAATAAATCTAATTTTTCGGTTTTTATTTTTTAAAACTCTTTCTGCCCTGTGGGCACTAAGAGGGTTTCTTTCAGCAAGCCCGTTATGGGTGTGACCAGACCTATACTGGGTGATGAGGGATTGGGCTCAACATAGAAAAATTTCTGGAATTTTCGAATCGTGCGGATTTGATCCCAGTCCCCCCAAATTGGTAGGTTACCTTTACCGTTTGGCCACCTGACCATTAGACCTCGATTTGTTTCTATCTAGTCATATGAATTAACTGAAATATGCCCATTAGTGACCAAGGTGTATAAAACTATAACATTGATAGTTGGTCGCAGGCGACCAACGTACTGGTCACCACTTTAGTAATACCTAAATAGGGGCCAGTTTCCCACAGAAGACCTCCCGGGAGACCCTTGGTTGTTATGGATTTAGCCAGGCCAACCATATCCAGGGCAGACCATCCCTNCTCATACAAACTCTTCGCCCTACATCTGAACACAAAGGGTTTCTGTATCAGCACTATTGCTGTTCTTCATCATTACACAGCATCTCAATACTACAAAAGACAGCCATTGTTCTATTGGAGATTGATAAATCTTAACATAATGATTTAACCTTAGCTGCAGCACATCTTATGATGGAATTCTCAATGAGTTGGTTGCAATGACCTGCTATTAGGTTCTGAAGCAACCAGTAATGAGCCAACAGCATACTAAGTCCTGATATTGCCAACCTTGAATGAGCCACAGCAGGCCTAATACTTGGCTCAGAAGCAGCCAGCCAGCTGTTTTCCAATAGATACTACCTTATGCACATTTAGGATAATACATAGTCAACATCTGCAGAGGCCCAAATACAGATACAAGGTTGAATACAATGGGGTGTTGTCTGGTTGCCCAAAAGATTATTTGTGGCACCTGTTATACCACTCAGATATTTAACAGTTGTCAGCATGATATCTCACCTTGGTAGATACCTCTTACTTAGACCCGATCATGACACTCAGATGAGAAATCCCCACTAAACCACTGCAGCACAGATCATCATGCTCCCACCACAGCAAGGTGGAGAAATTGATGGGGGAAAATATATATTTGCTAAGGTTGATTGATTGTTTTCATAAATACTGTATCTTCTTATAATAAGAATTTTAATTAAATGAATATTTTAAGTGAAATATTGTTTTAATTATGTTTGAAATAAAGGATGGACATCAATATGGAGATGAATACTTAGCAGAGTTAGATCATATAGAAGTTGTAGAAAGGTTAAAAGAAGGTTATGAAAGTGATGTTGTTGATCCTGAAGAAAATGATAAAGAAGACTCTGATGATTCTACAGAAGATTCTGATGAAAGCAGGTTTGCTTGTTTTATATTCAAATCTTTAATATTTTAGCTTTATTTTCAAAAATTAAATGAAAATTATATTTTTTTATTGAGTGAAATTATTCACATATATCAATGTCTTCATTCCTGGAAAAATTAACTGTGGGAGTTGTTGGTTTTACTATTTTTAAGCTTGTGCTGATGATGAAAAGTTTGTTAGATCCATATTCCTAGAGTTACAAACATAAACTTTCCTTTTACTTTTTTTGTATTAGTAAACTAAAGGCTTCTAGTTTTTACAGTGATTTATTTAAATTTGTTTTAAGACCAATGATTTTAATGTTTTAATTTTTTTTTTTTTTTTGTATTACTAAAAATATCATGTTGTCACTTACACTGCTTACTCATTTAAATACCATAAATGTTAAAATTAAATTTTCAAAATTTTCATTTACAGTGAATTCTCTTTTTATGTAGTTTTGAAGTTGCTATTTGTTTGATATTTGAAATAGTTATTGAAGTTTCATGATCTTATATTCTGACAATTATACACAAAAAAACTTGACAGTTATGCAGTTTCATGACTTAAGAACATCAAGACTACATAGAATGAAATACATGTGCAGAATGTGGAAGGAATTGTGAGATCCGAAAGGCCCTGGGTCTAATTTATGAATTTTTATTAATAATGGTAAAATATCGACACAAAATATTACTTCATTTTTGTGAAAAACTAGTGTTTTGGACGTGGGAAAAAACCAGATAACAGATGCTACTTCCTTTCACAGAAGAGAACATCCTCTGACTTTCCCTTATCTGGTTAAAAATCTCACTCAGATCGGAAATGGTTACCCCTCATTCATCCCCCTTTCGTCCCTTCTCATGAAAGAGTTACTGGCCGATGATTGGTCGAAATTCAGGAGATATAAGGGGAATTTAGTCCGAATTCGGGGAGTTCTTCGACAGATCTGAAGCGTCAAAACTCCACACAGTTCTCCTCCTGATGACCAACGCCCTTAAACGAGTCCCATAGACTAAGTTCCGAGTCTGAACTTAGTGAAGATACTTTTATATTTGTGCACGTATTGATCTCCCGTACGAAGAAGTAAATGAACTCTATCTACAAGGTGCCCCTACCTACAGAGAGGAAGACGAACGACAACTAAACAGGTCGTATGCTTTATAATAATTTTGTGAGCTCTCTCTCTCGATCGCGCATCAGTATCGAATAAGTCTTAGACTATATCTCGTGTGGTTTAATTGTCTTATTGATATCCCTCGTTCGTTGTAATTTGTATTCGTTTTGTTTTGAATTATTATATTTACTCTTGTTAAATTTAATTAAATGTCTCTAAAATTGATTCCGAATCAGATCTCACACGCGTGTTAATCCGCGTATAATAAGATTGATTAACTGGTGTCAAGGAATCCTGACGAGCATCTGAACTTCGCAGTTCGGATCATATAGCGGTTATCGCTCTCCTGTGAAATATTTAAGATCAGATCTAGTGATCTGCATCCTAGAGAACTAGTCCTACCGACTGGTGCCGATTAAGTGTTACACGGGTACTACCTACTCCGTAACCCCGGCTACTCTCACAGAATGTAGCCCTCAGTTTTGCATTAAATATGGAGACTCTGTAATTGATAACACAATTACTACAGCTATTAATTAAGCATAATAGATGGTTTTACACATGGTCTTGATGAAGTTGATTAAAAGAAGTGTTTTTGAACCTTGAGTTTATATGAATAATAAATTACAGTAGGAAGCTGAAGAAGTAGCACCACCTTCCAATAGTAATCAATTTCTGCCAAGATTCTATTGATGAATAAATACTATTGATGAATTGGAAAATCCAGTTTTTTACGTACAAGTTTTTACTGGAACAAATACATACCATACATATGTATGTATTTTCTTCAAAATGAATAAAGCTTGGTACTAGTTTTAAACTCTTAATTTACTTGCAACTTACTTAGACAACTCACTTGGAACAATTTTTATATAAGTGCTTATGGGTTTATTGGTTTCTGGGGATCTAGAAATAATAGTAAAATTAGTTGAGGAATCAGTGGTGGATAAATATAATATTAAGTTAATTTGTCAATATGTAGATGACTTAATTATAATATGGTTTAATCATGACTGTATTAATGACTTTATATAGAAAATCATTTCAAAGAATACAGGCATCCAAATAAAGCTAAGGCAAATTAGCTCAACAATAGTAAATTATTTAGATATAATTTTGAAATCTGAAAATAAATATGATGTTGGCTTACAAAATGCTAAAAACCATCTGTTTATTCATACATATAATATATTGGAGATGTTATGACATCATGTCACATAAGCTGGAACCTTTTCATATATTAATTAAAAGAGCTATTTGCCACTCATCATCTATAAAGCTTAGGCAGGAAGAGTTAAATAGAGTTTGAAATATTACTAACTTGTATGTGCCACTGTTTTCCAAGTAAAGTTATGGATCCTATAATGAATTCTCATTTGATTAAGAAGATTCAACATATAGATAATAAATAGCAATATTCCTTTTTTCAATAATAGGAAAACATACAGCATCGATAGTTAAAAGATTTATGACAGATTCTAACTTAAGAATATACTTTAAATGTTTTCCTATTATGATGCAGTTGCTTAGGTTAGAGAAAGATAAGATCAGTACAACAAGCAAAGTTAGGTTTATATCATAAAGTTAGTCAAAAATAGAGAAATTTTCTATATAGAATCTATGATTAGTTCATTAAACATTTGCCTTAAAGAATTTTATGCTTTAATTAATAGGAATAATAATAACTTAACTGCACCACTATGACACAGTGACATTATATATGACATTAAAGTTAATGTTTCCTGTTCTAATATACAACTAAAAGAACATTGTTCAATTCATCTGCTAGAACAGATGTATGTATATTCATATTGTCTCTAATACATTTAGACGTAATGCCCAGATGCCACTCAGAGAATGTAAACAAAATAATAATTGATTTTTATAATTTCTATAATAATGAACTTTATTTGAGGGATAAAAACTATATATATTTAACTAAAACTAAGTATATTTAATATGAATTCTCAATATGTTGTAAAATTCTACTTGATGATTGATCAATTTAAAAATCTATTTTATGTTTTCTATTCTAAGTTAAAATGCATTTTTTTCAGTAGCTGAGAATAGCTTAATATAAGCTGAAAGTGTTTCTAAATTATTAAAAGGTTTTGATATCTGTGAGAAACAGATATGTTGACTTAATAGTGTAATACTGTAATACTGAAATAGTAAAAGAATATATATATATTCTTTTTACTATTTTTGTGCCCTATGGACACTAAGATGACCCTTTCCTTGGTTGTTATGGATTTAGCCAGGCCAACCATATCCAGGGCAGACCATCCCTGAAAAATTTCTAGAGTTTTTTTGACCAGAATTTGATTTTGGATTTCCATATTGGCATGTTGAAATCTTAGCCTTAATTTCCAGCCAGCAAGATGCATATATTGCATTAAAAGAAAGCTCACTAAACATGCTATTTTATGAAAGAACTCTCTCCTGTTTTAAAAATTATGATTTGACAATACATTTTGTGTTAAACTGTACTTTAAAACATGTAACAAATATATAATTATTTAGAAATTAATTTCTAGTACTACTTTGCTACATTTAATCACTGTCTTCATATGCTATATTTTAATTTAATTTTTTAAATTTTAGTTATTTTGATCCCAGCCAAAAAGACAAGGCTGACTCAGATTCTGACTTTGATGTAGATTTCAAAGAAGTTGTTGAATATGGCTGTCATTCTACTAGGTACTAGCTCTTAAATTCAAATTGTTGTCATGATAAATGTATATAAAATTTCTGATTTTAGTAATTTTAATTTTAGGAGTAGGAAGAAACTCCTTGATGTAAACAATTTATCTGAAGAATCTTCAATAAATGGATCAAAAGCAAACTCTTTAGAGAAGATTGCAGAATCATGTACTGAAACACAGATATCAACTTCAGAAAAATTTTCCAGTACATTTTCAATAAATGATGAAAATGTTAGTCTTTTAACAGCTGATGAAATTAAGGTGGAAGTTGAAACAGACACAAATAATGCTGATCTTAAAATTGTGGAAAGCTGTTCAGGTTTGTCTTGAATTAAATATGTTATTTATCAGATGAAATTATTTAAGATTTGTCCTGCAAATTTGAAACAAATAATTGTTTCAGATTTCTATGGATATTGAATAATGTTAAACTGAAGGGATTTTATAAATCATTTTAGTCAAAATAGAAAAATTTTATTTTTAATTAAATATCTATAATTAATCTAATAAAATTGGAATATTTACAATAATAATGCATTTTTAATCTTCCAGCAGTTGTTCTATATTTCAAAATAGTATTTTCAATTCTATTAAAGGATTGAAAGTATTATTTTGCTTTTTTTTTATCTAGTAGGCAACTAAGAGAGCTTTTTTAATCATAACCTGGCTTACAGTGGGAATAGTGGGTGATGAGGAAAGGAGCCTAACATATCCAGGACAGACCATTTCTTAAAAAATTCCTGAGTTTTTTCAACCACCTGGATTCTATTCCATGCTTCTCAGAGCAGAAAACTGGCACCTTAACTTCCTCAGCTATTCACTGTGAATTGAAATAACAATTTGAAATTTAGAATGATTTCTGGAAGATTAAAGATGTAGTTATTGTTTTTTTGAATATTTTACATTATTATTCTAGATATATCTAATTTATATTATTTACATACATTTAATTATTTTATTTATTTATATTTAGATTTGCCAAAAACAGAAATTACACCAATTCTTGGTACCAATTTACCTGAAGTGAAAAAGGTTACAGTTCCTTGGGTTCCACAGCTTGCTGAAGAACATGACAAAGGTTTGTTTTCACATTTGAGCCAAAAATATGTATAGATTTTTATTATATTCTGTAAAATGATAAATTATTTCATTTATTTCAGTTTCAGATATTGTTAATAATAATAATAATAACGACGACAATAAAAACAACAACAACAACAACAACAATAATAATAATACTTCTTCTGAAGGCAAAATTGAAGGTAAATTATTTTTTATTATTACTAATTACATAATCTGAAACAATACATAATAATAACAAACTGTTGAATTATACAGATGAAAGCATGGCCAGTACTTCACTATTTAGTAATCTTCCTGATCCAAAGAAAGGTCCACTTCTAAACACAAAAACTGAGCTTAGAAATGAAAACTCTCAATTTGTCTCAGTTCGAAAGTTCTTCAATGAAGAATATTGTTATATTATGGATGCTAAAAATTGTGGAAATATTGGAAGATATTTAAATGTATGTAAATAATTTAAATTAGATAGATTTAAAATAACTTTGTTTTAATCTGTTTTTATTTTAAGTGAAAAATAAGCTTTAGATTAAAAACTTTTTTATAAAAAACTTTTTTAACCCTGAATAACTAAGAGGGCCTTTTTTTTCAAGCCCATCTTAGATTCACCCAGGCCCACAATAAGGCAGCCAAGTGATGAAGGATGGGCCTTATATATTTGGGACTAGCCTTTAAGAAAAATTCCTGAATTGCTCCCTGGATTTGATTCTGAGTCTCCCAGAACAGTAGGCTGGTGCCTAAACTGCCTTGCCCATTGGGCCATCCAATCCATGAAAAAAGGCCTTGTAAGTGCCCACAGGGAGAGGAAAGTACCAAAAATGAGAGACCTTCAAGCTAGGATTTCTCATTTCCTGGTCCTTTGGTTGTCCCGGGATTTCAAGTAAAAAGTGATCTGTCTTCCAGGAAATCCCAGGATATAATTAACCTTTAAGATATAAAATAAATCTTGAAATCAAATGATATAATTATTTTTTATCCTTTAAGTAATTTAATATGTCCTGCAACCTCCAAAATAATAATATTAATAATGCTGTGTAAAATATGTATTAAAAATTACCTTTGAATTATGTAGAAATTTTCACAAATAGAAAAAATTTATTAAAGTTTGTTACTTACAACAACAACAACAACAACAAAAAAGCCTTTGAATTGAGTTGAAAATTTAAAGAAAAAAAATGAACTTAGATCAAACTTCTAACTTAGAAGGTAATTTTCATTTTTTAAATAAAACATAATACAAAATATTATTGTACATTTTTTATAATAAGATTTTAAAAAGGAAAGATGGTCAATACTTCGATCACTTAGTCTGGTTTTTATTTTAGTAGTGAAAAGTCTTGTTACCAAGAATGCCCTTTCCAATTAAATTGATGTGGGTGGAATTGTCTTTAATGCATTTAAGAGAAGACAGATGTGTGTTTTTTCACCTGTAGCTTCAAAGGTTTATAGTTTGTTTTCAAAATGTGTTGCAGTACTTTGTTTTCTCTCTACTATTTTTGATTTGTCTACCTCAGCTGCTTTAATAGTGGCATCAAGCTTATAGCCCAATAATTTGGCAGTTTGTTTAGTAATCAGGTTTATGAAGAAAAACTTCATACTCATTTGTATCCTTGCCCAATTTGCACAACCTGGCATAATGCAGTTATTGAAGCATGGTTAAAAATTAAGACATTATCAGCACAATTATTTAAGATATTACAGGTTCTGATAAGTAAAGAATTTCAGTCTTGCCACAAATAGGATACATATTGATTATTAACAATCTGTGACATGCCATAACAAGCAAAAATTTAAAAAATTAATAAGCAGGCTTAAAATCGATAAATACAAATGTATTCTAAATATGACAAATGTATATGAGTTAATTATACTTTCTATTTGCAAAATTTCCTCAACCTTAACACAAAATAAGAAAAAGTGAATTTTTAAGAAATTTGCGGGATTTCCTGAGATGAGAAGAATTTCCCGGGTTAAAAAAACAACTGGGATCCCGGGATTCCGTTTGAGAAAACCTAGTGTGGACCATGTTATATCTCACTGTCTAACTGAGTGGTACACAGTGAGACAGGTTACCAATTTTCATTCTTTTTATTCCACAATAAAAATTATTGTTATTACTCAGTTATTTATTTAATATTACAACATGCATATATGTATAATAATTTTCAATAAACATTACAAAAATTATTATTATTTTGAAGCATTTCTTATTTTTTGACTTCCCTACTGAATATCTCTCTACACAGGTTTAAATAAGTGTACTTTAATTACAATCATCCGGTATAATTCTTATATGACGTACTTAAGTCTAGTGTCAATTTCAAAGGTAAACAAACCGCAACTCTAAAACAAAGTTCATATCAAGTATTAAATACTCTTTAAACACATTTCTTTTATGAAATTAAATATTTGTAAACAGAAATGACAATTTTTTAAAATAAAAATTTATTTAAAACAATGAAACTTGGAATATTTTTGTCTAATTTATTTACAAGAAACTTGATCTAAAATTTATTTTCGTTTTAAATCGATCGAACAGAATATAAAACCGCATAAAATATTAATGAAAAATGAGATTTATACTATAAGTGGATATTCTTCTTTCTGAAATGTATTTTAAATGGGATCTTCAAAGAAAGTGTAAAACAACTCTTTGTCTTCAAATAACATGATATTAATACACTTGTATAATTTTTAATATTTTTTTTAGAAAAAAGTACAGACTATTTTATAGTCTGAAATGTTATATTCTGTTAATATGAATAATTATAACCATTTCCATATTTTAAATTACTTTTATAATTACGGTAGCTGAAGCATTAATTAAAGAGAAATTTATACCTAAATCTGGTTAATCTAATTATTAAATTTAACACAAAATGGCAGCTTAACCGCTTACCTTTATCCAAATTAAGCGACTTCTTTATAATTAAATAGACATGTTAAAGGCCAATTGTAATCCGGTGGTATTATTTGTTCATATTGTATTTTGTTCGAATAATTTTCATTTTGTATAATTTCCTAATAAAACCGATTATATTTCTATTGAAATAATTTTATAATAAGGTTACAAAATTATTATTTTTATTTTAAATTAACTGAAATTAAATTTAATAAAAACGTTATTTAAATTAAATTAATTTAATACAGCGTAATTTGCCGTAATAATGGCAGCTGGGTTTTCTAAATCAATTTTCATTGATAATTGATTCTTAAAGTAGTAATATTATGTTTGAATTATTTAATATATTTTAAAAATTAGATATGCACATTAAAAGTTCACATTAAAAAGTAAAAATAATTCAAATGCAATTATTTGACAGGAAGAGGAATTATGATACAATACAATTTTTCTTTTACATAACGAATGTTTCAATAGTTATTAGAGTTGCATATACAGTGTGTATCATTTTAATTCGTCATCAAAATAACTCGAAAAATATGCATCCTACGAAAAACCTGCGCTACAACGATGTTCTACATCAAGAGGGACACGAGATGACACTGTCGTTTTTGTCATAGATAGAGCTACAATCAATGAAAACGGAGTCAACTTCATTTTCTTAAATTTTTCCTTATTTTTTATTTCATCTTAAGATTTTATCCTCAAAAACAAGCAAACTTTTATCCTTAACATTTTTTCGAAAGAAGTACTTATCAGATGTTATGAGCATTTGAACTTTTACATCGGCGCCATATGATGCATGCCTAAATCTGTGGATTTATGCAAAGTTCTCTAAAAATATAAATATATATATACAGTAGAGCGTCGTTTATCCGAATCAATTGGTGATTGGGGTGGTTCGGATAACTTATTTTTCGGATAACGAATCATGTACGAAAAAATATATTAATTTATCCCATGTTAAAATTTCTCTCCGTTGCGTGTCGCTTCGCGTTGAATTTTCGTCGATGTTAAGCCTAACGAAAACTATTGTATCGTTAAAAATTATTTTTTTATTTTGTACAAACAAAATAAATATATTGAAAAATATAAAAACAATAAAAAATTATACTTCAGATGTTAATTTAGTATCAAAAACGTAAAATATTTGAGTAGCCC